CATGACAGCAAAAGTGACATGCTGTGTAAACAAAGGTAGGGGGAAGATACAGATTATATAGTCAGGAAACCCAGACAGGGAAAGAAATTTTCAGCTGGGCTTTGAAGGATGAGAGAATTTATGTGAGAGGAGAAGACAGATGTGAGATGGGTCACTGAAGATTACAGAAACCATGAGAAGCAAGGAAAGCGGAACAGTCTAACATCATTTCACGGCATTTCACTGGTGCCACCTGGTGCATAATGGTGATGTTGCCAAGAAACAAATGTTTGTATCTGTGAGAGCACTTCAGAGAGAGAGAATTCTGCCAGAACAAGTTGAGATCAGGTTTCCGTGGACTATCCAGTGTGGTATGAATCTGGGACCCAAGAGAAAAGTCTAGAGAATCCTCTTCCAGCAAATGCATCCTTTATTCTAAAATGACTTTCTTCCACTTTGGTCTTGGGGATGGTTGAGCACCACAGTGAGACTATTCCAGACTTGACTATTTCAGACTTCCATGTGGCGTCTACATTCTCATATTCCTTTTTTCTCTTCCCTCTTAATTTTTTTCTTTGCTTTCTCATTCCGTTTCCCCTAAATGTAAACCCGCACCTCACTTCATTGCTGACCCTGACAGGAGTGGGGAAAAAATTGGAAGACACTCAGCCAACATCATTATCTGGGGTGTTAGCCCACTGCTGCAGGTTCAGCCTTGAAGTTGCCCTTGGACATAAAACATGTGAGACAAACATCAATGGGTACTTGAACCACAGATGTTCCTTGCTTTACCCCTCCCAGCTCTGGAAAGCTACAAATAAAATCAGCCACACCAAGAATACTCAGCAAACATCTTATTGTCCTTGTGGTACCCCAACATGGTGGAAGGAGCTCAAAAAGGGGATAGGCAGAGCAATGCAATTGACCACGTGTGATCCCATAGGCCTGATTAGCTACAACCCAGTCCACACCAATCCTTTCTTCCCTCCTCATTGCTTCTCCCATTCCATGAAAGTGACAGTCACCTGTCCACTATTCATCAGGTAGAAAAGAGATAACCTGTATCCTAGATAGAGATTCACCAACCCCCAAACTCACATGACATGGATTCACCAAAACTTCCATCTTCATTGAAAAAAAGACAGAGAAAAACACATTCAGATTTAAGGCTAGTATCTGACTTGGGTTGAAAAGTCTACACCTGTCTAAATCTCTGTTTTCAGTGAAATCATATAGATAGAAATTTCATTTACAGTATGTTTCTTTCCAAAAAATCCTAAACAAATAAACAAAGAAATTCTGACTTTAATGAAATCATAAACTGAAGAGAACTCACAATAAAGACACTGATAAAAACTGTAGGAACACGAATGGATACATTACTATCGTTGATTTCCTCATACATAAATAGTGATTGAGCACATTCTCTGTGTCAGGCACACAGCAAGGCCCCAAGAAAACGAAGACAAATTAGACATGACTCCTTTAGACCTACCCACAGACCAAATTACACAGCCTTGTGGGGAAGATAAGCAAGGGAGTGGCTAACTTCTATACCATTTAATAAATTCTAGATCCTCGGGTAGTGGGGGAAGCCCACTCAATATGGTGGAAGGGAGCTCAAAAGGGGGATAGGCAGAGCAATGCACTTGACCACATGTGATCCCATAGGCCTGATTAGCTACAGCCCAGTCCCGCCACCCTCCTCAAACCAACCAGATACATAGCACTCAAGTGGCCATGGGAGGATCAGTCTCAGTTTCTACCTTGTATGTCCTAGGACAGGAAAAGAGAAGCAGAAGATTTGTATTCAAAAAAGAGGTTTGGGGACTCCTGGCTGGCTCAGCTGATGAAGCACATAACTCTTAATCTCAGGGTTGTGGGTTCAAGCCCCACGTTCAGTGCACAGATGACTTCAAAATAAAATATTAAAAAAAGAGTTTGTTTTCTTTTAAATGGGTGAGTTAAAAAGCAAAATTATTTAAAATAATTTTTTAAATTATTCCAAGAGTTTTGCATTTAGCCCAGAGAAGAGAAAGTAACCACTACCAACCATCCATTTACCATCCATAAAAAGCCCCTCAACACAGACCACCCTTCCTAGTACACATCACACCGGAAAGTTCCTCAAACACCTATGTCAGGAGCAGCAAAATGCTCACCACCTCCTAACTACCCCATTCACACTTCAGGTGGTGTCCACCATATTTCCTCACCTATCAAATCTATGCCAGCTTGCACAAGCCCTCACGTCCTGTCACAATGCCTGTCCGTCCCCATGCACTGATATCCTCCATCCGCCAGGCTGCCAAAGGCAAGGCTTAGATGTTTTGCGCAGACAGTTCCAATATCTTCTTGCCTCTTATGCTTCCTTTAGAGCTATACAAAGCTGTCTCTTAATACCTCATAACTTAAAGTTAGGGTCACTTTCCTATCCATCTCTATTTCTAGTCACAACCTTTATGGTGCCTGAGTTAGAGTAGGTACTCAAATATTTATAGTCAGCAAAACAACTTCACGGCGCTAACCTAAAAAAAAAAAAAAATTATTCTAGGACCACCTGGGTGGCTCAGTTAAGTGTCTGATTCTTGGTTTCTGCTCAGGTCATGATCTCAGGGTCCTAGGATTGAGCCCCACATCAGGCTCCCCGCTCAGCAGGAGTCTGCTTGTCCCTCTCCCTCTCCTCCTCCCTCCATGCTCCTGCTTTCTCTCTCTCTCGCTCATAAATAAAAATAAAATCTTTTGTAAAAAACTAATCTTAAAAGAAGAATTCTAATCTGAGAGTGTTAGCCTATCAAAGCCAAAAAACCCACCCATTTTCTTCTGATCAGTTAATAATGTAACAAGAAGATAAACTTCAGTATCCGATTCTACATTGGATATAATTACTCCCTTCACATCGAACTATGAATTATGAATAATGTTTAATAATTCACCTGATTTATATTTTGATTACTGGAAAAACATATTTCAAATTTATAAACAATGGTAAAAACTGTAACATGGTTACAAAAAGAATTTCATAAAAGTAAGTGGTAAGGGAAAAGACAGTTAAGTCATTGAATGGTTAATGGTGACTTATCATCAAGTTTCCAAAGGAATCTGGTCACTACATCCTCCAGATATCCATGATCCATTCCATAATGACACCCAAACGTATGACACAATTAAAAATAAATATACGACACCCCAATATATAACAGGCTTTGGTTCTGAAAGTAAAACCAAAAATCCCAGTTGAATACCCAGGTTTGTATGCAATTATAACAGGAACCTAGAGTCTCCACAAAAAAAAAAAAAAAAAAATTCACTTCTTCCCTCAAAGCTGTAACCTACTTTAGTGTCACTGATGGGGAATTAAAAAAAAACAAAACAGGGACGTCTGGGTGGCTCAGTTGGTTAAGCAGCTGCCTTCGGCTCAGGTCATGATCCCGGCGTCCTGGGATCGAGTCCCACATCGGGCTCCTTGCTCATCGGGGAGCCTGCTTCTCCCTCTGTCTCTGCCTGCCACTCTGTCTGCCTGTGCTCGCTCTCTCTCCCTCTCTCTCTGACAAATAAATAAATAAAATCTTAAAAAAAAAAAAAAAAAACTGATTAAACCAGTCACCATGATTTACTGATCTGGGGACTGAATTTATATTAAACTTGTTCTAGATATATAAGATTTTCTCATAATTGTACTTGGCTATTTTAGCTCATCGAAATACTAAAGCATTAAAAAATCAATGAGACCATAAGAATTTGCATCCTTCAGTTTCTTTTTGGTTTTTTTTAGAGAATGCAAGTGAAGCTGTCCACAGGCAAACACGCACACGCGTTCACAAGCACACACACATGCACACACATACGAGTGAGACTGGAGCAAGTTCAAACCCTCTGACAGTCAAACGGAGAGACACATTCATACATTTCTTAGGAAGATGAATATGCAGGGGTCCCTGGGTGGCTCAGTCAGTTAAGTGACTGCCTTCGGCTCAGGTCATGATCCCAAGGTCCTGGGATCAGGCCCCATGTCAGGTTCCCTGCCCAGCAGGCGGGTCTGCTTCTCCCCCTCTCTCTGCTCATTCTCTCTCTCTTTCAAATAAATAAATAAAATCTTTTTTTTTTTTTTTAACAAATCAGTTTATTCTCTGATAGTTTTTGAAGTCAGAAATCTGAAATAGGTCTCCCTGAGCTAAAATCACTGTCTACATAGAAGAGTTCATTCTGGAAGTCTGGGGAGAATATGTTTTCTTTTCTATCCCAGCTTTCAGAGCCACCTATACTCGCTGGTTCATGTGTCCTCCATTTACCTTCAAAGCCAGCAACAGGACATCCAAAAATTTTACTCTGACTCCAAGTCTTCAACCTCCCTCTTCCACATTTGGGGAACACTTTTCATCTATTTTATTTAATTATTTTTTAATTTTTTATTTTTATTTTTTTTAAATTTTTTAAATTTCTTTTCAGTGTTCCAGAATTCATTGTTTATACACCACACCCAGTGTTCCATGCAATACGTACCTTCCGTAATACCTACCACCAGGCTCACCCAACCTCCCGCCCCTCCAAAACCCTCAGATTGTTTTTCAGAGTCCACAGTCTTTCATGGTTCATCTTTTTTTTTAAAGGAATATTAACATGTATTTTTGTCTACCATAACACTGAGCAGTGGTGGAGAGAGAGAGAGACACACACACACACACACTTAAAGCAAAAAGTTTGAGGAAAAATTATGTTTTTAATTTCTTTGCCAGGAACATGGAAAAAGGAAAACTCATCCAATAGGGCTTTTAATGCCTTAAAGTATCCCAGAGAGGTTATTTGTAATAGTTTTAAAATACATAGAGGTCAACCCTAAAACGAATGGGAAAAGCGGGCGCAATCAATATTACCTGAATTTAAATTCTTATAAATGACATTCTCTCCATCCAAGCTAACCACAAAAATAACTCCAAACCAAATCTTCCAAGGGCAAGGAGTACACATAGAAAGGAGAAAAACAGAAGAAGAAGCAGGAAAGTGCCCAGCCCTGGTCTCACCTCTGGCTCCTCCAGGGCCTCCTCTCCAGCCGGTGTCTTCTGCAGCAGATCCAGGATGCCATTGCTGGAAGGCCTCCTGTCCTCGGAGGGAGAGGCATAGGCCTCCTCGGAGTCCGTTTCCACCACACGGAGGTAGCCTGCTTCTTCCTGGTTCCAGTCCAATTCCTCCTCAGACTGTTTCAAGGAGCTACTGCTGCTCTTGGGCAAGATCCCCGCTGTCGACAGGCTGCTGGGCACCGAGATGTAGGATGACTGGGGCCCAGAATAAGGCCTGCCCTCTGGGGCCAAGGCCTCAGCCTCCAAGAGGTCAGGGACAGAGAGGCTGAGGCGGCGGTCCAGGGAACGCCTTGCCTGTAGGTCTAGGGGCTGGTTCCGGTTCTTTTTCACCCTCCTCTTGCTCAAGTTGATTAACAAAGGCCTGGTCCGCTGTTTCAAAGAGCCCCAGACAGATGGTTTATCCTCCATGGCTGCCTGAAGGCCCAGCAAGTCACTCCATGAGAGAGCTCCTCTGTGTGGGAAACAACCGCAGCGGCTCCTAGAAAACACAAAGTGAGGAGAGAGAACACAAATGAGCCTTCTCAGTAGTATCTAAGCACATTGAAGGTAAGATGTGACTGGAAAGTCTCACACGTTCCACTAAGGGACTGAGACAGAAACATTTGGTTGGTAATGTTTACAAATATTTTTAAAGCATTTTTTTAAATATTTTATTTATTTATTTGACAGACAGCAATCACAAGTAGGCAGAGAGGCAGGCAGAGAGAGAGGAAGGGAAGCAGGCTCCCTCCTGAGCAGAGAGCCTGATGCGGGGCTTGATCCCAGGACCCTGGGATCATGACCTGAGCTGAAGGCAGAGGCTTTAACCCACTGAGCCACCCAGGCGCCCCTTAAAGCATTTTTAAGGCACTGAATTTTTAACATTTTTGTCAGAGGAACCATAGAAAAATTCCAGTCATGAATGGAACTGTGAGGTTGATGTGAAAAGAATGTTTCATCAGAAGACTGCTTTCTCTGACTTAGTTCACTGCACTTAATGTCCTCCCTCCCGGTTCAGCCATGTTGTTGAAAATGGCAGGATTTCCTCCTATCCAGATGCCTAACTCATATCTCATTGTGTGTGTGTGTGTGTGTGTGTGTGTGTTACACACACACATGTATTTTTATCCATTCATCCCTCAATAACCACTTAGATTGTTTCCTCATCTTGGCAACTGTGAATAATGCTATAGTGAACAAGGGAGTGAGGGAGTGAGGAAATGCTGATTTTAGTTTGGAAGGATATATATACCCAGAGTCATATAATACTTCTAGTTTCAGTTTTTTGAGGAACCTCCATATTGTTCTCCATGTGTCTGTATCAGTTTACCTTCCAACAACAGTGCACAAGGGCTGTCTTCCACATCCTCACCAAAACTTGTGATCTCTTATTGTTTTTTTTTTTAATAATAGCCATGAAGAGTTGAAGTTTGCTAAGAGAGTAAATCTTCTGTGATCTCATCACACATACACAAAAGTTCTAAATATGTGAGGTGAAATTTACAAATTAACAAGTTAATGTGTTAATTAACTTGATTGTGGTACTCATTTCACAATGCATGTAATTAACTCATGTTGTCTACCCTAAACACACACACACACACATAATTTCTACACATACAATATTTGTTTCGTAACTAAAACGCGGGGAAAAAAGACTACTTTCTTATGTTGCCCCAGGGAAAGCAGAGCCAAAATTTACCAACACAATAACAGCATCTTTAATCAATATTATCAAATAACCAGTACCTTTTAGTGTTTGAACCAGGGTAGACAAAGATTCTCTGTATGAAATCAGTTAGTAAATATTTAAGACTTTACAGGCCACATGGTGTATCACGATTACTCAGTTCTGCTGTTTGGCACCAAAGGAGACATGGACAACACCTAAATGAGTGTGGCTGTGTTCCAATAAAACTTTATTTACATAAATGCAGCAGAGTGTAGTTGGCCAATCCCTGCTTTAAAGTTACCATCTTCCGGGGCGCCTGGGTGGCTCAGTGGGTTGGGGCCTCTGCCTTCGGCTCAGGTCATGATCCTGGGGTCCTGGGATCGAGCCTCACATCGGGCTCTCTGCTCAGCAGGGAGCCTGCTTCCCTTCCTCTCTCTCTGCCTGCCTCTCTGCCTACCTGTGATCTCTGTCTGTCAAATAAATAAATAAAATCTTAAAAAAAAAAATAAAGTTACCATCTTCCTTTCCAGCAAGACAGGTGCATTTTGAAGGATACACACATACTCATGTTGACAAAAATTCCACCTCATTATCTTAAAACTTTATAGTAAAAATAAGGTTGACTAAAGAGAAAAGCATTTATAGAAGTAAGAGGCCTGTTCTTGTTCCAATGTACCAAGTCAGAAAAATTGACAAAACTATAAGGGAAATCTCAAGAAATGCAAGCTTCAGAGCTTTAGCTTCAGAATATGTGATTGAAAGTGTTTCCCGCAAACAGGTGTGAATTACAGGAATGCTTCACAAATAATATGTAATTATACAGAGTGGTAAATACTATGCAGGAAAAGGGGTGATTTGACATATTACAGGTTGGACTCATTAGGGATCAAGTCAAAGTCAAATCTTGATGCAAAAGAATTAAATTGACCACTTTTTTCACCATCCACAAAAATAAGCTCAAAATGGATTAAAGACCTGAATGTGAGATCTGAAACCATAAAAATCCTAGAAGAGAACACAGGCAGTAATCTTTTTGACATTGGACATAGCAACATTTTTCTAGCTATATCACATGAGGCAAGGGAAATAAAACAAAAAATAACCTATTGGTACTATGTCAAAATAAAAATCTTCTGCACAATGAAGGAAACAATCAACAAAACTAAAAGGCAACCTGCTGAATGGGGGAAGATATTTGAAAATGACATATCTGATAAAGGGTTAGTATCCAAAATATATAAAGAACTTATATAAGTCATCACCCAGAAAACATATAATCCAATTAAAAATGGCAGAAGACATGAACAGCCACTTCTCCAAAGACACCCAGATGACCAACAGACACATGAAAAGATGTTCAATACCACTCATCATCAGAGAAATGCAAATCAAAACCACAATGATATATTACCTCACACTTGTCAGAATGGCTAAAATCAAAAGCACAAGAAACAACAAATATTGGCAAAGATGTGGAGAAAAAAGGAACCCTCATGTACTATTGGTGGGGATGCAAATTGATGCAGCCACTATGGAAAACAGCATGGAGGCTTCTAAAAAATCAAAATAGATCTACCCTTTGATCTAGGAATTCCACTACTGTGTATTTACCTAAAGAATACAAAAATACTAACTCAAAGTGTTACGTGCACCCCATGTTTATTGCAGCATTATTTATAATAGCCAAACTCTATGGAAGCAGCCTAAATATTCATCAAGAGATGAATGGATAAAGATACACACACACACACACACACACACTAATACTATTCAGCCATAAAAAAGAAGGAAATCTTGCCATTTGCAACAACATGAGTAGAGCTAAAAAGAAAAATACTAATTGAAATAAGTCAGAAAAAGACAAATAATGTATGACCTCATTCATATGTGCAATTTGAGAAATAAATGATCAAAGGAAAGAGAGAGAGATGGAAACCAAGAGAACAAACTGATAGTTACGGGGGTGAGGGGGTTGTAGATGGGGTAAATAGGGGATAGGGATTAAAGAGTACATTTATCATAATGAAAACTAATAAATTTTTTAAAAAAAGAAAATTATCTGAAGGTCTTAGGGGTTTAATCCAAAAAAAATCAACTTTGGAGAAATAAACCTTATTCTATGTGTCAAGTAGCTCATAATAAATCCTTTCAGTATGAAAAAGAACAGCAGAGTCAGGTAATTCTGATCTGGCCTGTATTTACATTGCCATGTTTGGCTGAGGATAAAATAGGCCAAGAGCCACAAGAAAACACATTTTCTAAGATCAAGGACAAGTGTTTGTACCCAGCACTATCTTACAGGACAGGATATTTAGTCATTGGGAAGTCACTGCCTTTGGAAGAGCAGGACTATGAGAATCTACAGCTTTTGCTGGATCACTGGATGACCACCGGGACAGGCAACAGCTTCTTCCAGGATGAAATGGGCATCTTCAGAAGGTAATGCAGGGATAAAGAACTTGGGTTCCAGAGACAGACTCCATGATTTGGAATTTTGCTGTGTCACATTTTACTTAGATGCACTATTAGGGGCAAGTCATCACAGTGTGCAAACCAAATAAGACAAGGTTTAAGGCCCAGTGTCAAAAGCAGAAAAAGTATTTAGTCAAGAAAAGCTTTTTTAATCATTACTGATACTGTTGTTATAATTTCCAATTTTGATATCTTAATTTATTAAAGAGCTCTCTTTCTCATTATTATTTGTATATGTAACTACCTCAATGGCCTCTTGTGAGGACTGAATGAATTCTCTTTATAAAGAGAAGAATAGTGCTTGGCACAGAGTAAATACTTAAGATAATGATAGCTAGTTTTTAAATTATTATTTCACTTATTTCATGCTGAGCCATTCTAGCTTTGAAAATACTTCACCACTTTTTCCTGCTTTGTAAAATGTTGTTGTAAACATAAACTTGTAGTTCACATTAGCAAGACACAAATACATTATTTAATTCACCTCTCATAGCTTAACTTGCAAATATGCTAAAAAGAATTTCTTCTATATTCATTTAGAAATATTTTAGTCAATTAGCTTTTAGTGGAGAGTTATATAAATGTTTATTAGATCTAGTTGGTTGATGGTTCAATTCTTCTATACTCTTGGTGATTTTCTTTCTACTAGTATTACCTAGAGAGGAATGCTGGGTCTCTCAATCATAACTGTGAATTTGTATATTTCTCCTTTAGTTCTGTCAGGTTTTACTTCTGTATTTTGAAGTTTTGTTATTTGTATACATGTTTACAACTGTTAATATCATCTTGCTGTTTAAATCCATTTTGACAGACTCTTATTTGGTTTGTATAGACCATTTAAATTTAACATAATAATTTATATGTTTGTATTATATGAAGGTTTCCCAATGTAACTGTTTCCACTGTTTTTTATTCTTCTGTTTCCGTTCCCTGTTTTTCCTTCCTTCACTTTTTTCAGTGTTCATTTTAATTCATCAATTGTGATTCTGACTTTATAAAATTCCTGTCAGACAAGGTTTTACTTTGATTTCAATCACAAACCATATTTTAACTAATTCAAGAAGAGAACAGATTATATTTACTATTTCCTCCATTCTTAATATTCCAAATTTCTCATATCAATTCCCATAGCCTAAGACATTTCCTTAACCTGCTATTTTACAGCAGGTCTGTTGACTCCAAATTCTCTTGATTTTACCTGAAATGAGGAGATCCTCATTTCACATTCAAGGATATTTTCACCAAATTCTGGGCTCTGCACTTTTATTTATTTCAGCACTTTAAAAATAGTAAGACATTTCCTCTGGGTTCCATGATTTCTGCTGAGAAACTTTTCATTTGAATCTCTG